CGTCCAAATTGCTTTAACGGTGTTAACTTTTGGCCACGTGGACGCCACGTAGATGCATACGTGGATGCTACGTGGATGAGAGTTTTTTTTAAAACACCTGGACCCAGAACGGCCCGTTCTGAAACCGGAACGGGCCGTTCTGGGTGCACTTTTGGTGTGTTAATTTTGCATCCGGAACGGCCCGTTCCAGATGCAAAATTAACACACCAAAAATGTATGTATAAGTTATAATAATATATAATATATATGTATAAGTTATAATAACATATAATATATATTACTAAATTTTATTTTAAAATTAATATTCAAATCACGTATAATTATATTTTTAATAAATTTGTATCTACATCTATTATATTTATAATAACATTTTTTTATATTATTATATGTAATTTTTTTATTAATGTTTATAGACTAATTTTTTTAAAGTGTAAAAACTATTGAACTATTTTTTTATTTTGTTACAAAGTTTTTTCCATTGATATAATTAAACAAATTGAACTTAATGAACTCAATTATTTATCTACAACATTTCAGCTTATCGATAAACCACATGTAGACCTGTCACTAAGGAAAAACAACTCTTTTAAAAAGAAAAGGAAATGACAAATATATTGGCAACTTGATTGGAAAGATGTGGTCTGTTGGTTGGTAACATTTGCTTCCGGACGAAAAACTACTGTTTAATTTGATGGTCATGTTTGGGTCATGTTTGCCTTAAAATTAAAGTGAATTCGAATACGGTCACATGTTTTTTTGTCTCAAATGTAAAAGTTAATCTAAAGAAGATACTACTGTTACCGTTACATGTGGAGAAAAAAAAAATCCCATTTTTTGATAAAATATTTTAAAACACGTTTTTAGAGGCAAAGTGAATTTATTATTCAATATTAATTAATGAGAATGAGTAATCATCCTAGTTAATGACTGGTGGAAGTTTAACCAATAATCTTAAATTTTAATTTGAATATTTAATTATATTAAATGTTTAGAAGAAGAATTTTTTTCACTCATAATAATTATACACGACTTGGATAGAACTTTTTCCGATATATAGAAGATAAGTACATGTGGTATAAAAAAATCCCATGTCATGTAGTTAGTGTAGGATAATCCAAACATTTACTACTGTACAAAGAAAATATGAAGTCTATTTTAGGTTTGTATTTTAAAATAAATATAACATATGACATCAAAAATTAGAACATTATGCATGACAATATAGTAAAAATCTCATCTTTTGGAAACGAGTCATTTCTATATTGAAATAAGTTGTTAGTGATACATCTTTCAAATTAATTTTTTATTTAGTTATTGTAAGAAGTTTATGTTGAAACTTGAAATGCTTGAATAATGACCATTTAGTACTAATCTTCATCTTTTCAAAAAATAAAATAAAATAAAATGGATATATAGCTTTTTGTCTTCTTCATATTTTCATAAAATTGAAATTTTAATTTAAACTAATCAAACCCAAAAGTTTTCTAATTTTTTTTACTAAATGAAAAATTTGTTTGACTTTTATTAATTAATAATATTAGGTAAGCAAACTTTTTTTTCCAATAACTATTAGTGTTTCAGATCTAATCGAAGTAACATTTTTTTAAAACGTTAGCTTATTATAACTTCTTATATTTTATTTTTTTCTTTAATCATTTTTTCATAGAGATGTTATCTTATTTGGTTTTTAAAAGATGGTAGAGGCTGTCAATAGGTCCTTAAAAGATTTTTTGTAGTATCTAGATTTCTAAATTTTACCTTCGTTTTGCAAGTTAGTTATTATGTTATACACAGTTATTAATTTTATTAATTTCTTGAATAGTCAATAATTAAGTGTCAGGTTGACACTAATTTTTTCTCTTAGTTATTTGTTCTCTCTTTTAATCATCTAATATAGATCATAATGCAATATTTTGGTATTTTTTAATTAGCAATGGACACTTTGTCATGTTTAAATATTCTAGTTATGAGTGTCCTAGTTAAAATGAAAGGTTTTTTTGGATTTCGTATGATTTTTTGTAATTAGATCTTTTTTATCATGGTCATCTTTAATTTATTCGTCTGTTATGGCTATAGGTTATAATTATAAACTCTAAATTATTGAATTTAGGATTTAGCAAAATTAGTGATTATTATAAAAAAAATGTTGAATAAGGATGCCTCAATTGAATATGAACGTTTCTACTATATTTAATGAATCACAAAACTTCTTTCGTAAAAGTGGGGGAAAACTTTGTAGTAATGGAAGTGAGTGAGAAGAATTAAGTAATTCAAAGGTTAATTAAGTTGTTTTTAAATTAAATTAAAAAATAAAAGTTAAATCTTACTTTGTCACAAGTCTAAATTTACTTAGTGTGTAATTGGTGTATATATGCTAATTGGAAGAGAGAATGCATGTCAATGCGATAATTAGCTATTGACTAGTTATGAGACTAATAAAGTTAGTAACTGAATATAATGGAATATGATTAACTTGCCTAACAAAATTAAAATTTAGGGACCTATATATCACAAAATAACATTTCAAGGACCTATCACCACCTTTATCATCTTTTATAGACTAAATTAGGTTTATTTTATAATTTTTTATATTACATTATCTATTTTAACCGTTAAAGTATTTTTATTATTTATTCCATTACTTAATATATTTTAACCATATTACGCTTATTTAAGTGTAGGATATTTTTTTAAAAAAATTTGATGAGAAACATTTTAAATATAATAGTAATTGAAAAATATAACAATTGAAACTAAAGAAAGTAATTAAAATAATTTATCTATAAATAAAAAATTTCAAGAGTTTAAAATTAATTAAAAAAATTAAAATTACAAATACCCTAATAAATTTTTTTTATTAATAAACTAAAATTATTTTTTATATAAAATATTCACTATAATTATTTAATGATAATATAATAATTGTCTCTATTTTTATTATATAATAAAAATAATTGATGGCTACTTATTAGCCACTAAAAATACACTTACACCACTAAAATTTACTAATTGCAATAATTATTTAATGGTAATAAACTAATTATCCCTATTTTATTATCTAATAAAAATATTAATGACTAATAAATAATAACCATTACAAATATATTTATAAGAGTAATTGTTGAAAATGGTTAGTAAAAAGTATATAAGAGTAACTTTTAATTCATTTTATTAGAAAAAATTAAGTCTCATATGAAGTAGAGATATGATAATTAAGAGTATATAAGTAGAGGGCAAGCTTCACCTTACAAACTGATTTTATAGGATTAAATTAGGGGAACTGCTACGGTACCCATGAAAACTGAAGAGTTTTGGTACATCACATTATCTGAAAAAATAAATTTTAAAAAATAAGTACAAAACAAAAGAAATTTTAGATTAAAAATTTATATAAAATAAATCAATCAAAAAAACTAATAATTCAAAACAAAATAATCAAAAGGTCAATTTTCATAAAAAATTTTATTTATATCTTACCAAATTAAAAAATTAAAAACAAAAAATTATAATAATATTATAAAAACATTAAAAAAAATATAACTGAAAAAC